TAACCATCCTTGTTCCTTTTTGGTTTATTGTCACTTCTGTGGTGTTTTTCTACTTTAGTAAACTATTATTTTGAGGTTTATAATTTCTTCAATTTGAGTAATTTAAAGTAATTTAAGTAATTTTGCACATGCATCAGAAAATGACTTAAAATACCGTGACATACGTAGCTCCTTTAAAGTTGTGTTTCAAAGACAGCTATTGCAGTGATTTGCACCTTACAGGGTTTCACTTGACATTTTTATCATTAATTTTTGACATCTTTGGACATCTTTTTGACAACGTTCTGATCTTTTCTTGGATTAACATCTAAAGAAGTGTAAACTGTGGATGTAAAAGTGTGTGGGGCGGAGTCATGGACATGCAAATAACGCTATTATTTACTTACTATTCAGTCATAGTCATGCAAATAATGCTATTATTTACTTACTATTCAGTCATAGTCATGCAAATAACGCTAATATTTACTTACTATTCAGTCATAGTAATGCAAATACGCTATTAGTATACTTATTCGTACGCAGGGTATTGTTGGTGAAGTTTGGAGATCTGCGTGAAGATGGGCAACCAGGAGACTATCAGCCATTAGTGTGCAGACACGGATAGGTTGTCTACAAATTGCGGTTACATCTTCTTCGTTATTAAGTTTCGGAAGATTTAGAGTTAATACTAGACAATTACTCCATTCTGATTCGCTAAGATCAGTGCAGTTCAAGTGTAACACCAGCGCAAAAAGTGTAACACCAGTGCAAATTACAATTTCCGAAGATTTCCGAACTAGTACGAAGACCCCTAACGGCCTCCCGACGGTCATACGAGGTATGCCGAAGATGGCGAAGTTGAACCGAAGCCTTCCGAAAGTTTCCGAAGATCACCCGATGACTTCCGAAGATTACCCGAAGTCGTCCGAAGATTTCCGAACTTCATCCGAAGACTTTCCGAGAACCGAAGATTTATTCAGACACGGATAGTGTTGTTTGTAATTCTAGTTACATTCTTGTTCGTTATTCATTACGAAATAAATAGTTAGCACAATATACAGAACGCAACATCCGTTGTAAGTTTTAACAGAAAGTCACATGTGGATGAAAAGTATTGACTGCCACTTGCCCTTAAAAGAGAGCAAAAGGCAATCTCTGGTAATGGCCATTCTCGTTCCCAGATGTCCCCCCCGGTTCTTTTGGTCCACGTGGTTGGCGAAACGGAGGCTCTTGGTCTAAGCCGTTACCGGATGTCCGAAAATTCGGGGACAATCCATTCATTAATTCATGTTGCGCATTCATTTTTTATCAGCCAATGAAAAAATTTCGATTTTTTCCTCGAGACCAGGGCTACGCGTTTCCGGACTCAAAAGCCGAAAAACGAGGAGTTCTGGGAAAACGAGGATGGGTAAAAGGCCTATTTAGCTCCAGAATATGCAAATGATCAAGTGCTATATTCCCAATACAGTGCAAAAAAAAGTTACTAACCCAATCAAATCAGTTGGCATTTGGACACAGTTTAGGTGATGGTTACGCAATGCAATCTTTCAATTCCAATTGTAAGAAACTTGTCTCGCACAAAAACAAAAAAAAAAAAAAACTTGTCTCGCAACTTTCTCGAAAACTTAGAGAAAGTTGCACGAGACCATTCCCTGTGGAAAGTAACATACCGTACACAAGCCGCAACTTCCTTGCATAGTTAAATAGAGGGAAATGGTTATGAAGCCCAGGCCAAATTCAAAGGAGCAAACAAAAGAGGCCAAGATTTATGTTGGGAAGGTCCATGACCGTGCACCATCTTTTGTTTGAGCTCATACACTATGCATGAATTACGTAATTGCAACGTTTTAGATGGTTAGTTGCTTGAACACACGTAACCAACCTATTGTCTTTTGTCAGGTTTTGTGCACGGTCAAACCCCCAAAATAGTGAACAAAAAACATAATCAACAAAAGAACTTTGCGCTGGGCTTTAATAACCATTTCCCTCTATTAAACTATGCTCCTTGCGATACAACTTCGCCAAGTCTGCTGGCAATCGTTTTGTAAGAAAGTGGAATTGAGTTTTCCTGCGACTGTTGCATCAGCCAACTTGTCTTGGGAAAACGAGTTTGTCACGCGAACGGCATTATGTGACGGTTAACGTTTCGTGCAAATTGTCTCCCGACGGCGTTGCACAAAACGTCAACAGATGCATAAAGCAGCCTCGATGTGTTTACGTGTTTATCTCCGCCGAAATTGGTTGGCATAAAAAGTCGATGACTTGACTGACGGGTTTAGAATTCAGGTTAAACTGGTTCTAACGAGAATGATACGTTTGGGTCATCTCATGACTTGAACGATACATTGCAGGAGATGGCGGTTACACTGGAAAGTCAGGAAAGATAGGACGCAAAGTGCGTTTAGAGGTGAATATAGAAATACCGTAAAAAGCTCTATTTAGCCCCCACTCTCTATTAAGCCCCCCTATCTAATAAGCCCCCGCTTTGGAAGTCAGATTTTGTAATAAGCCCCCTCTCTCTATTAAGCCCCCCCCCCCCTCCATCTTCCCCGTCAGGCTTGATGTAAATGACTTTTTAGCAATGATGTTTCGCGGGCTTTGCAGTCACTTTGTATTGAAACGTGGTCTTTAATTTCCAGAACTAATCGTCGAGTTAGGGTATAAATGACGTTCTCCTTTGGTAAGACGGTCATACAAAAACCCATTTCTTGTTGTTTTAGTTTTTTTTCTAGTTAGTGGTGTAATAGTAAAGTTTGAAAAAAATTAATGTGAATTTTTCTTGAAAATTTATGATTTGAAATTAAGCCCAACATCTCTATTAGCCCCCCCTCTACTAAGCCCCCCCCCCCCCCCTTCTTGAAAGGGCCTGAAATTAAATAATAAGCCCCCCGGGAGCTTAATAGAGCTTTTACGGTATCTCCTCCTTACAAATCAATACATTGGCAAGCAGACAGGTGATGAGAGTAAAGAAAAAAATCATCAACAAGGGAAAGTTGTCCTTTGATGTAGCACTAATTTTTTTCCTCTTTTTTTTTTTAACACTAATTCTTGGAGCTAACATTAAAAGAAATGTATGTAAGTTGGTAAGGAGAAGTCATAGTCACAAGCTTGCAGGACGCTACAGTGACAGAAATTGATCGTCTGCCCGACAGAGTACTAAACTAGCTGCCATTTTTTATATCCCTGCTAGTTTAACAGGGCGAGGCAGGAGACACTGGAAACGAAATGGTACTAGGATGGCCCCCCGGTTCCACCGTGGTGGTCATGGAGTGAGTAAATTTTTAAAGAAACATCTCGTCTGTAATATAAAACCATTGCAAACAAATCTTATTACATCAACTGTTTTTTATTTTTTGTTTTATTCTCGCAGGGCTCAGAAGGTTCCCAATGAAGAGCCTGGCCCACAAGGAATTCCAGGAGATACGAGGTCAACGTCACGCCATTTATCACACGCATTGTCACGCATTTCGTCACGTATTGGTCACGCCATTGTCACGCAAGTGACACGCATTGTGAGAACTGAACGCATTGTCGAACGAACGCATTATCACGAACGAACGTCACGAATTGTCACGCATTATCACGCATTGTCGAACGAACGCATTATCACGCATTTTAACGTATTGTCACGAACGTTGTCGAAACGGTTGGTTGGGTGGGTTGGGGAGACAACATGAATGAATGCGAATGGACTGATAGCGACTGCCATTGTAATTTTAATTATTTTAGGAGTGGCCACAGTTTTGTCAGCCACTGGCTGTTATGTGTTTTTTCCCTCGTTAAATAAAGTTTATTATTAATGTTATTTATTAATCTTTAACCCTGATTTTCAATTGTAAAGCGCATATTGAAATACATATACACCACGGAAAGTGTGCTTTATAAATGCAGCAGCATTGTAATTTGTTTTTTAGTGCATAGTGCACTAATTGTGATGGTTTAGCTGGGTTGGCTAGCTAGGTCTATAAGGCGCTATGGACGTTAACTAATTAAAATTAGGCTGTCTGTCAACACAAGTCAATTATCTATGTCAGCAGTCAACTTCATTTTAAGAATGCTCATTGTTCATATCTGGCCTTATCTTTTCATATTTCATATTTCAGGGAGCTACTGGACCTCAGCGTATTCCTGGTACACCGCGTGAGTCGATTGATTTCTTGTCTTTACTTTGAAATTGATTTAAAGTTGGTTTCACTTCCTTGCAGTATAGTTTTCTTTTTTATCTTTATATATCGTAGAATAATTTCTTACACATTCTTGACGGTTTCCAGAAGCTCATAAGGTCTAGTAACTGTTTTTGTGTTTTCTTTCTTGTTTGTAGGGTGAACGTGGCCTCAGCGGTAAGATAATCTCTTGTTATGTGGTTTGATGATAGGTTTTATTTTGTCTCTTAATGTTTCTATATGTCTTTAATTGAATACCGGAACCTATGGGAAGTAAAGTTTCATAAGGCTAATTAAGGGACTATATTGCCAACCTCGTGCCCAGGGTCTCTCTTCTTGGGCGGGAAGGAAGAGTGACCTGGGAACGAGGTTGCAAAATAGCATACATGTATACAATATATCCTATATTAATCTTTATTCGTGATAGTTTTATAACAGCCAAACAATAAAATTAAAGATGGCTAGATTATTAGTTTGTTCTTTCATAGCGGTTCATCGCGCCGCGGTGTACCTTATAAACTGAAAGATTTTGCTAGGGAATGACTGACCATGACTGAGATCCAGTTTCTATCGGTTAACAAACCCTTCGGCTTCAATTGGTTCTGAAAAATTCATCTTCCATTCTCAGGCAATATTTAACGGCATTCATTTCATTAAAAAAACGGATTACTTTTCTAGTTTTCATTCGCATCAAAATTAACTTTCTTCTAGTAACTAATTATGCCTTTTTGATTTCATTTTGATATACACACGTAAAGAGCAATCGTTTGAAATAATTAACAATGAAAATTACAACCACAGATGTTAAACTGTGGCAAACATGATGTCAAACACACGCTCCCATCCTCCCTACAAACATGTTCCGAGCGGGAATCAAACTCACGTCTCCCTAAGTTACTTGTCGGGCGTGATGACCACTACACCATCGAGGCAACCACGCTGGGAAACGTGGCCACGTAACGTATATTTGAAAAAGTTGTAATGGTGTAATAACGTTCACCAACCGGTCAAGAAGCGAACATTATAAACTAACTCATTCTTACTTATTTTCGTTTTCAGGGTAAATGAAGGAATGGAGGTGAGTCAAACAACTGTAGTTTTTAATGAATTCTGATTGCGTTAAGGACAGAGGGCATTTTTCGTTAATTTCTGGTTTTGCCCAGGGCAAAATTACTCCGAAGATTTCCGAACATTTCCCGAGGACTTACCGAAGCAAGTGCAAAGTTCACCCCGAACGGACTTCCGAAGATTTCGGCTGAAAAGATTTTCGAAACGTGATCGTAAGGTCAGCAAAATATGATCCGATAGTCTCCCGAAGATTGACGAAGACGGACCCGATGTCGTAAAATTAAAGGAGTTAATAATCAATCGTGTTTTCAGAATTTGCAAATTTCTGAAACCACGCGTGATATTAATCCTTAATTTTACTCGGCCCCTATGGGCGATTACCCTATACTAATTCGTATTTTAGCTTGTTGAAATCACGTACTGGCTTGTGTTTTTTTTAGGGTGACCCAGGCCCTCCCAGTCCACCAGGCCCACAGGTATGAGCATAGTATCGTGGTTTCAGGAGGGGGGGGGGGGGGGGGAGGTGGGGGTGGGGGGGTATGGATAGTCCTAGTCGCTCTGTGTTTTCTATTAACGATTCTGATTTTCTTCATTTTTCAGGGAACCCCTGGGAAGTTACCTCATTAGTCCACTTGTAAGTGTTTTAGTTACTCCTTCTAATCTATTATTGCTTTTGTCTTAAATAATTGTTGTCCATTTTAGATTATCTGATGATTCACTTGTAAGGTCTTAGCGTAGTTCTTCTTATTTAGCTAAGATTGCAGGCGAGCTGAAACGCTTTTGAAACAATAGCTGCGAAGGAGACTATGGTTATTGATGATCAGAAACATAAGATCCCTAAAAAAAGCTTATACGAAGACTAGAATAACCAACGAAAAAAAGCACCAATCGCGAGTGACAAAAAAAATTGATCAGGAAAAAAAAATTGTTCACGAAGATATCTGGGACTGAGCACGGACGGAATGGTATTGACCTAGTTTTCCTTTGTTTTCTTGACAAGTGCAATTTTGAGACGCTAGTCGCACGCTGCGGTGACATATTAGACTCGTTTGGGTCTCGCCACTGGTATTTGAACCAAACAATGACGAACCATGGCTCGACGAAACTCGCCCTCCCGCCGCGCCGATCGCCGGCAAGCCGGCTCGTTTTCGCGCGTGCAGTTTGTTGTGAGCCTGCTCGCAGGCTAAACGTAACAACCATTGCACGAACAGGTTGTATGGATAAGTCAAATCAAAAATAACTAATAAAACGAAAAAAAAAACACTAAAATAGAGAAGAAAACGTTTCATATAGTGAATAGTCACAAACGTTTCGGGCATTAGCCCTTCTCTCAGTGTGCAGGTTTATGTATATACTGCCTTCAGTGAAGAATTATTGCGGTATTTTCATTAACTTGAGGCAGTGCTAACGCTCTAACTCTTATTGTGTAGATTCACAAGGGTCTGGTGAACAAGGGGCCGCTGCCAAAACTATCGACTGTACTCCGGCACAAAGGTAATACATTTTAACTATATGCAAGTTTGAATGAAAGTAAAATTTTGGTTCATATAAACGCCCCCCCGCCCCCTGCTACTGATTGGTTGTGTAGTCATTTTGAATAATATAACGCGCGCTCTGATTGGTTGTGGTAGTCGTTTTGATCATATAATGCGCGGCTCTTGATGGGTTGTGTAGTCGTTTTGCATGATGCACAAATTAAACACGGTTATGGGAACGTATCATTGCATTTGTTGGCTTTAGTTTGGCTTTCACCTCCCACCAATGAGCTGGAAAGCACTGGTTTTGGCATTTATACTTTGGACATTAGGTATGAGGAAACTTGATAATACGCGCCAAAAGAAGGTGTGAAACATTCGACTTCGGGTTGCCATCCGTGGAGCTCAGAAAACGTCCTGTGCTTAATAATGATTCCGTGACGAACTTGTTCAAGTAGAAAATCGTTGTCCTCCCGCTTGATGTCTGTTTCACTCAGCAACATATACATGCATGTACGCATTGCGGACCGATCAACTTACAGAATAATTCAGTTATTTATCTATTTGTGTATTTATTTCCGCAGAGAACCAGCTCTCAGAAGGAAAACTCCTTTATTAGAGGTAATCTGTACCAAGAAGTGATCGATATCCAATTTCTCCTTACAGTATCAATACAGTATTAAGGAGATAGGTGATGGGAATATAGGAAAAACTCTATCAAACTAGGGTTCGATAGATATTGTGTTGTTGTACAACCCAATTCTCCAAAACTAACATTGAAAGAAATGCCATGGCAACCCAGTTTTAAAGGAGCTACGTCACGGATCGGCACAACTTGAAAAATGGAGCCTAAATTGTTCAAAGTCGTCGTTCGTAATCCGTCTCAATCTTCACCCAATCTTAACCATCCTTGTTCCTGTGCTTTATTATTACCTCTTTGCGTGTTTTTCTACCTTAGTTAAAACTGTCATTGTTTGGTTTTCTTCGAGTTGTTTTCACCAGTCATGCAATTAAAACTTCACGTCCGGAACTGAAGCTAGCCATCATCGTTTACGCTGAGCCTAAGCAATAAACGTGAGCTCAGTAGAAACTTTTTTCCCCGGGGCGGGGGGGGGGGGGGTACTGAAACAAAGTTTTATACGGGAGGGATGCTCCGCCCGAGGTCCAACAAACCATTTACCCTTTATATACCATTTTTGGACTGAAAAGCGTAAACCCTGGAATATACCCTTCAATAGAAAAATGGTACCCCTTTCACATACCTAATAGTGTGAAAACCTGCATCCCTTTTCTTACTAAAACTTTTCTCGCTTGAATAGCACCTTAAAATATTGGATGAATCAGCCGTTAGGTGCCGGGGGGGGGGTCTTGTTTTTTTTTTTTTTCCCGGGGGAGATATTTTGAAAGGCCCTTTTAAACACCGCAAATGACAGTTTTCCCTACCCTTAATATACTTCAACTCGTGAAATCTCTTCCTTTCATATACCTCGAGCCTAAAAAAGGACCCCTTTAGCGCGGAAGCTTCCCCGCTATAGTCCATGTATAGGGAGGCCCACCCCCCGGACGTTTTGCACACTGAAACAACTCCAAAAACCATGTTAACATATGAATGGATTGAAGACAGTTTTAGATGTCTGTCCTGTCCTCCGTTGTCAAGTAATTTTTTTTTTTCTTTACCTCCTTTCAGATTCCTGCATTGAAAAAGGTCTGTGAGATGGTTATGAAAATCAGGAGGGGACAACTACAAACTGACAGAAAGGCAGCAAATATCATCCCCGCCCGAGCTCCTGAAGGCGACCTACAGCTTGATAGTGACGTCATAAGCGAAAAAGCGGTGAGTTTAATGATTGCTAAAAACATTGTTACACTGAAATCGAGAGTTAGGGGTGACCATGAGGATGATAGAGATCAGAAACTAGTTTACTTAATAACAGAATAATTTACATTTGAAAAGAAGGAAGGTTTGTATCACAACAAAAGTCTCAAAATGCTAAATTATTCTGTTATTAAATAAACTAGTTTCTGATCTCTATCATCTCATTGCATGGTCAACCCCTAACCTCGATTTCATACAGAGGCCTTGGTAAACATTTCACGGAAACTGTAAAATGGTCTATTGGCCTCTTTTTTTGTTTTTTTTTTTTTCCCTATTTGTTTATTTTTTCTTGTTTGTTTCTGTTTTGTGTTTTTTCTTTTTTTGTGATTTTATCCTTTTTTGTTTACTTCTTTTCGTCTCTTTTTTTTTTTCTTTATCGCAAGTTCTGTTGCCGAGAAAGTTCCAAGGAAACGTTGCCGAAATGGTCCACATAACATAAAATAATCTTGCCTTCAACGTATTTTTTTTGCCGGCAGTCGTTGACTAAAGTAGTAGAAAGTGTCTTGTTTCTCCATTTCTCAACAATTAAAGGCAACGCTGCAACATTTCTTGGGGAGTGTTTGCCCCTAGTTAGTTTAAGGCGCTGTTACACTGCTTTTTTGTTTTGTTTTCGTGCAACTTATCTCGCCAAGTTTTTTGTGACACAAGTTGTCGCAATGTTTTCGTTGTCAATGCAGGAGTTGCACGGAGTAGAATCCAAGTTTCTAATTTTCACTGCAATTATTGCGGAAAACGACCGCAGCCAACGAATTTTTTTTATGTGTTGCCTGTACAGATTATTAGATCAGTCACTACTAGATGTATGATTAGTATGATTAGTATTAGATTTTGTTATACTATTATTAATTTATATTTTACACAGTTATTAATATTTTCAATTGTTAGTTATCTATATTTTTTTTTTTGTGTCCCCAAATTAGTATGGGATTTTCCCAGGCTACCAAGGCTTGACCACATAAATAAACGTTTTCTATTCTATTCTATTCTACGTGGCGTGTTAAAGCCCGTGTTAAAGTGTTCGTTGTAACTTGTCTCACAACGACGCGAAGACGAGGTGGTCACGAACTATTTCCTAGTGCAAACAATAGCATACCGTGGACCTTATTTTGGTCTCAACAATATTCCCTAGGCACTACATGGTAATACCTCCTCCACCTATAAACACACACCACTGAATAAAAAGTTCATATAGTTATTTGATGTAGTTAATCTTCTTAAAACCAGAATATGGACCTGTAATTTTTTGGCGTTGTCACACACATGCAGTGTTATTACTGGATAGACCCCAATGAAGGTTGCCATCAGTGATGCGGAGTTCATTTACACTGTGACTTTGAGAACAAACGAGCTTGCGTCACATCCAAAGAAAGAGAATGGTAAGTTGCTGTGTTTTATCTGTTTCGCAAACTTGCATTTTCACACAAATGCCTTACCGTGCTTAAATAAACGTCTGTTGTCGTAATCACCTCTGCAGTGAAACGACAACAAAATAATTTCTAACTTAGTATAAAAA